CTTTCCTGTGCATGTTTGTACTCAGGAGACAAAACAGTAGCCCATACTTTTCTTCCATCGTTTGAAAATGCAAATGGCCGTCTCTATCAAGATCCAGAAATTTTGCTACCATGGTAACTTGACGTCACACTTCTCCTCTCTTTTGAGAAGAGCCGCTTTATTGATAATTATGCAAAATACAGCGGAGTGTTAAAAAAACGTGCTGTATACAAAGATGAATGGTGTACTTACGTTGTTTTTATTAGCCGAGAGCAGTCAGGTTAAATGGTACAAATGTCTCCATCTCTAACCTGTAGCAAAGGAAAGTGAAAGACAAATTTGCAAACAAACAAGGCAGGCGGCCAAAAAACAGGATTACCGGAAGTTCTAGGGTTTACCCGATACTAGGTTTCATAACCTTTTGAGAGTGTTGTGTCGTTGATTTGCATTTATTCTGACTAAATGATTCTACATGTTTGAATGGACTGTTTTCAGAATTTCGGAGAAAGGTGACGGTATAAAAGAGTGAAACAAAAAGCGATGAAATACCAAGCCATATAGAGCTACATTTATCAACGTCTGAGTCAACCAAAAATCAATTTAGATTCAATCAACTTTAACTTTTACTCAGAAATCAATTTTTTATGAAGATGGGACATTATGTCAAAAAAACTTATCTAGGTTCTATAGTATGTTCCTAAAATACGTCAAATGCCGTACAATTTTAGGTTTGACAAAAAAAATCCGACCTAGATCTAAGAAGTGACTCCAGTATAAAATACAAAATGATAAACTCTTGGAATCCATTTAACGCTGTTTGAAGTATTGCTGCCGATCTACAACCACGCCGATTTAAAGGTCATTAAACGCATTGAAAAATTGCAAGAAGAAAGTTAAGTGTAAAGGCCTTCGTAGCAGTTCTTTGGGTTGTTATGTGAAGGGCTCCTGCTATTGACCATAATTCTCCTATTTCCGGCTGCTTAGAAGTTGTGTGTCTCTAATCTGTTTGCTTTCAAATAAAAGACTGGTAAAAACAGTCAAAGTTTCACAGACAAAAATGGGTTAATATGATTTGAAACTTGATGGTCGAGTTTGCCGAACTGATCGAGCGGCGTACAAGCCCTGTCAGATGAAAAGGGAATATTAGTCAGATCTCAAATATTGAGCATGAATTCAAAGCTTCTATAGAACGTTTTTGGGATAATTCTTTCTTCGGGTTGCTCTTTCTTCGAGAAATTCAGCATTAAAGACACGAGCTATAATGGTACAAAAGGCCTTTAAGATAACCCTGATCCAACCAAGCAATGGCAATCTGAGCTAGACTTCCATCTTCACTTAAAATTGCATTCCTTTCTCTGGGCCAGGATCAAACGATTTTAAAATTCATCATGACTTAATACAGATCTATACAGAAATGGGTACACGTTTCTATTAATGCTCAGAAATTGTGCTGTAAACTGTTAACTATCCTGGGCTTTCTGAGTACTCTTCGCTCCACCTAAAACAGGGGAAATTGAAAGTGAAATGTGCCAACAAAGCGCTATCAAGGTTCAGACGAAATTTATCCTGTTGATAGGCGTTTGGAGAAAGTATATTGACCTGATGCTACAGAATAACAAAACCCGGTGACGGGAGGTTAGGAAAACTTACTTGGGAGGTATCGACAGCACGATCCAAGATGAAAAACTAACGGTAGTTTGAACTGGTTTAGCCTGTTTCAGGCGTTTAGGTGTACATTCAGTTGGAATATAGTGGCGAGTGGCTCGAACTGAAGAGCACGGATGAAGTGGATATTAATCCTAGCCTGCGAAAACATCCGTTTCTCCTCGCTCTTCGCCGCTGGGCACGTTTCGCGCGGAGGAACGTCTGCGACTCGGCGACAGAAATTCCATACTGATGACGCAATCAATGTCTACTTAACTAGTAATAGTTGACACTACAGTATATTGTCTGTCAATAGCATTCTTGCTCTTTATGTAGCTCTCTGAAATATACCGATTCATAAGGAAGATTTTCACACATATTCCATGCAATAGGTGCCTGATAAATACAGGAAACGCAAGATTCCATGCACAGTTTCAGGTCGATTTACACAGCTTTGATCAAAACATTCTCAGTTTCGAGCATAGTTTATTCTAAACCATAAGAAAAGATTAAATTAGAAGTTAAATTTTTCGCTATTTCTCTTTCACTTTTTTCATTCAGTTCATTTTATTTGCCGGAAAGGAAGCCTTAAAAATTAAAAGGACGTTTGGTCAATTCACACTCGCGCATTCTAATCTTATTTTAAACTTTATAGCGGAAGGACATCTGTGAGCAGGGAATAAGGCAGCACAGAATTTGATTGTCAGCGAATTTCTGTAATCGTCCATCGTTCTGCTACTGAGAAGCTAGCCGTTGTTCACTCCTCTTGCTTGTTTGGGGCTGAGTCTTATTCTGGTCAAAGAGAGAGAAAGAGTGTCTGGCAAGGTTTTCAACGAAAGATTTGTGAACTCGTGTCTGGCAAACTCTTCAAGGTTTATATATACACAGTTATACGCACCTCTGCGCTTAACGAGTGTCGTTAAAATTTTGGACCATAACTTTCACTGAAACAACTGCTCCACAGAATGTCACTGATAACACGTAACGCAAGCGGTTCCTTGGGGATGATCTGTCTTTACGTCATCCTAACGATTTCGTACTTGCGAGCGCAAACAATAGAAACTTCATCATTACCTACCGATTCCTCGTGGCCCCTGTTTAAGCAAATCGAGGTTTTTTCTATATTGCCTGTATAACTGTATATTTCAACTGTAAGTACTTTCCTTAATATACGCGCGAGTTACTAGAGTGCCTCCTCGGGATTTCGCCTTCTGGGCGAAATCCCTGCGGGGGTAATAAATCCGGTATTCATGGGGTTTCAAATGTAAATTTATTCAGTTTTAGGTTTCTCCTGCTCGATTTTGGTAGTGTTTTGTTCATCTACGAACGAGCTCAAGCAAACCTCAAATGCTTGTTCTAGAGAAGACTATATTCCACAAATATTGCCTGTTTTGTTAGAGATTCATCGCGTTTACATTTGACTTTTGTGGCATTTTGTCTGTCATTCTTAAACATTAGCTAAAACAATGTAACTACTCCGTCGACCAATCAGGACTTCTGACCGGATTCTGGACATATTTTACGTCATCAGTATGGAATTTCTGTCGCTGAGTCACAGAGGTTCCTCCGCGCTAAACGTCCCCAGCGGCGAAGAGCGTGGAGGAACGGATGTTTTCGTATTCTTGGTTTTCACATGAGGTCACCAAAATTCAAACTAAGAAACTATCGCTTCTTCTGAGTTTCTACTTTCATGTGATATTAGACAACCTTAAAACCTTTATAGAAACAAATTTTTCGGTTCAAAAGGGTTCTTTGTTTTGCGATACAGGACGCTTGAATTTCCAGGCTTTTGCGTGACGCGGCATTTAGCTGGCGGCCGGGAAAGCTCTTATGTGGGTAAAAACATTGCGGATTTTTGGAGATCTTGCTATTTAAACATTCCTTGTCTTAGAATAAATATTGCTTTAATCTTTATGAGTTCCTCAAAGGAAGAATTTACGCATAAGTAGGAAAACTCAAAAACAGATGTTTCTGTTGGTTTCCGGCGGCCATATTTGTGCCCCTGAAAGGGACACAAACATGGCGTCTCCATACAAAGCTTTGTAAATTTGGGTAAAACGTTTTTCCGAATATCTCGCACATGAACGATTGCATAGACCTGACTCTTGGCAAGGCTTTTTAAATATTTATCTTCTTTCATTTCTCATATTCAAGACTTTCTATATTAAAAGGTTTCCATTTTTTATTTCTGCTTTCTCACGTGAGTGAAAACCGAGAATTAATATAAATCTAGACCCGTAAATGGACAACCAGCGTGGGAGAAAGGCAACCGCAAGCTTCCTGCGGCCGGAAGGGCGTGTATGACCGCATGACAGACGCTAAGATAAAGAGAGTTATTCAGCCACGCTCCAGGAATGCGTGATTAGCATTTAGCTTTACAACGTAGAAGGCTAGCCAATAGCGAGACAACGAGTCTTTTTTCGAGTGTATTACAATTTGCTTTGCATTTGTAATGGTATTGTAATAAAGATAGCGAATCCAAGCGTGTGCAAGGTGTGCCGGTTGCAGTGAACCTCTCAACGAGCACCAACGGGGAATCGCAAGTAAATTTTGCGAGGGCAAATTCAAAAGTTCCCCAGCTAAGCCCCACGATCACTCGTCGATCCAGCAACCTTTGGAGACAGAAGAAATAGAGGCATTGGAAGGCGAACTGGTCGCTTTGTGCCTGGAGGAGGAGCGCTTAGCGCAGGAACGAAGAAAGATGGCCTTACGCAAACAAATCGAGGAGAAACGGGCCAGAATCGCATCAGCCACGTGCTCCGTTGCTCCATCAAAGATCTCAGACAACTTCCCCTCCAGGACATGCGAACACCGCTCGATGGCCTCCTAGACCCGCTAAATTCTACGCAGCCAGCCGAAGCCTAAGCTTCTTGGCACGCCTTTCGCATACATGCCAACTCTCCCGGATTATCCGGGAGTATCCCGGATAAGACAACAATCTCCCGGTCTCCCGTACGGGTCACCAAATCTCCCGGATAAAATCGAGTTATGAGCTTTTCTGTGCTTTAATTTGGAATTTATCGCATTTTCTCCCAAAATTCGAATTTTTTATGATTCAAAGTTCGGTTTTCTGGGGTATTTTCGCACGTATTTTAACACTGACAAAATCGTGAATTCTAATTGTGATGGTCTATAACTCATGCAAGACTTCATAATAATGTCCTGAGCCGATTAGGGACTGGGTCGAATTGTGCTTATGGGGGGGGTTGATCATTGATATTTGGGGGGCTAATGCAAAAGAAAGAGTCTCCAGATTTTAGATTTCCAGAGGTTGGCATCTCTGCTTTCGCCCTTCACCTACCCTGCCCGGTGATGTGTCGTCCTTGGTTCCCCCTGCTGGTCTCTCCAACGCTGTCATGGAATCAAGAGCCTCGGAGATGTACTTACGACCCGCGCAGCTGCCGAAGGGTGAGAAAGTTCTCCGAATAATAGACTTTGTAGACAATATCATTCCCCGGGAAGACGAGCGAACAATTTCAGATGGGGGACATACAAAATTAATTGTGTCGTACGGCCCAAAGAAACCTAAGCTAGAACAGGTCACGTTCTCTCAGTGGGTGATAGCTAATACTCGATTTTTTTATAACTTAATGATAAGTAGGAAGTTGAATTCGCTAGAGGACATCATAAATTATCCTGCTTACACAGTTAAAGTCATGGAATTATCTAATCGCTTTCAATGGCCTTCTGTCCTTAAGTATGATGATGAGTTTCGCTTATTGCAGGCCACCTATGGCTATCCTCGGAGTTTCGATTGCAACCATTTACACACAGTTACCCTGCTAGCAGAGTCGCTTCGATATTTCCTAGATAAGTCGGGAAAGAGGAAGCGACTCTGCCGACACCTTCAAGTTCCTTTATCCAGCTTTTTGGATGAGTCAGACAAGTTTTATACTGGATAAACCAGTTTTATCTGTGCACGCACGCATATTCTGGAATTTTGCTGACTCTTTCTGCCCCCACGCTAAATAAAAAAACAAATAGCTGCCGCTTCAATTTCATGCGGGAATTTTGAGAAAATTATACATTGAACGTTCAGTTTTAGAAAATTGGAAAATATACCCAGATTCGAGATGGATTTTGTTTGGGATTTAACCATGTACTTAGCCGATTTTATTGCGTGAACGGATTCACAATCCAGTATTGTGTTACGCGAAGTTTTTGGAAGGATAAACAAATATATAAGAAACAATATCTATGCTTATTCTTCTGTGTTTGCGATAACATTAATTCAAAATAAGATCATGAGGCTACAGAATCCATGTAACTTGTTGCATTTAAATGATCGATGCTTTTACAGCTGTTTGTGGATAACAACACCAGACTTGCGATACCAAAAACGTCTTTGGATTTTGCGTTTTCCTAGGACGTCAATCAAAATGTGAAGAAGCGGCGCTTTCTTCCCTCTCTCGCATTTTATACATGTTAGCGAACCTCTTAGGAAACAAAAGGTTGTCGTTCGTGATTTCTGATAGGTGGATTTCGATCCGTTTTGTGTGTTTCTGTGTTTCAAGGTTAGATGCTTTGTTTTTGAAAAGCACCGTAAGTTTTACCTTAGCTCTAAGATTTTTTTATCTTCTTTACACTGAAACATGGCAAGTTTAGATTCCAAAGGTGAAATTGTTCCTATACTAGAGCTTCCAAATCCAGAGGAAACACAGCTACGGAAGGGTGAAAACGAACCGGTACGTTGCCGCTGACATTTACATTTGCTGACAAACACAGTGGATGCTACGGTAACGGTTTGATTGACGTCGCAGAAAAATTTGAATTTGGAGCATGTTCAGTATGAATTGTTGAGGATGTCGGCAGAGGTTCCTTCCTCTTCCCGACTTATCTAGGAAGATCGAAGGAGACTCTGTTCGCAGGGTAACACAGTTCTCCTACAGCCCATTCCCAAAACCCCTACCCCTACCCGCTCGACAAGTCGAGTCCCTGGCCCAAGCACTCAGTTCGCTGTGACAACTAGCGAGGGGCGTACCATTTGCCGTAGCTACAACTTCCCTCGGGGTTGCTCCTTTCCCAACTGCGTTTACGAACACGCTTGTAACCGACGCGTTCAGAGGGGTAGGACGTGCGGCCAAAGCCACCCAGGTCGTAGCCATGCTAATTCTCTCAATACCCCACTGCCGGGAACGAGGGCCACCCCCCAGTGACTACCCCTGACAAATTCGCTCCTTAATCAGAGTTTATGGTTATCCGAATTAGAGGGGGACGCAGATAGTGCATTTTTGAGCGATGGCGTATTATTTGGTTTTAAGTTAACAGGCGTTGACACCACGTTTAAAGAAGTAGACATGCCGAATTATAAATCGGCCACTAACTCTGCTGTGAGGGACACAGCAGAGGAAACGATTCGCGATGAGATCAGACAGGGAAACTATGTTTTCTCGGCAACTAAACCGACGGTCGTAAGCGCCTTAGGAGCTATTCAAAAGAGTCCCCCCCCCCCGGGTTCCCAAGCCGAATTCGATCTTTCACCGGTTGACACAGGCTGGGCACATGATGTTAAGCGCGGCTATCATGAAATCATAGTCTATTTAAACAAGAACGAGAAGTCCGAAAACTACAGCAAAGCTGATTTAAAACAACGCGTATTGTTTTTTATTACAATATTTCGGCTGGCCATACCAGCCTTCTTCAGGTTTACAGATGTTTCTGAACTTATGTAGCAATCACAATATTATATAGATGGAGAATGTCGCAATAAAAGGGAGAGGCGGAAATGACGTACAGCATAAAAACTGGAAAGGATAAATACTAAGGATATGGATTACAATAATTCGTCACGGCGGTTTTTGTAATCCATCCTTAGTATTTATCCTTTCCAGTTTTTGCGCTGTACGTCATTTCCGCCTCTCCCTTTTATTGCGACATTCTCCATCTATATAATATTCAGATTGCTACATAAGTTCAGTAACATCTGTAAACCTCAAGAGGGTTGGTATGGCCAGCCGAAATATTGTTATAAAAAAACAATACACGTTGTTTTAAATCAGCTTTGCTGTAGTCTTCGGACTTCTCGTTCTTGTTTCTTTATATTTTGGCTGATTTGATCTCTTTTCTAGAGATCCAACGTTTACAACTAGCAGGAACTTCGTCCACGGTTTTTGCAGTTAATTTAATAGTCTATTTAGATGATTTTCTTGTTATCGGAAGCACTTACCGCGATTGCAACGAAAAATATGACGCACTTTTGGTGCTACTTCAGGATTTGGGTTTCTCAATAAGCTGGCGGAAGCTCGTTCCACCAACGCAATGTCTCACGTTCTGGTAGGCAAATTACAGCTGATTTCAGTGCGGTGTATACACCCTGATTTTTAGACATGATTCGACGGTCATGATTCGACCGTCATGATTCGACCGAGAGGTTACCAAGCAGTATAGTATTTTACCTTGAATATCCTACAGGAATCAAAGCATACAATCTGAAAGTTACTTTGATGATAGCTTGAATATTTCTCTCGTAATTCAGATAAAGAGGACTGTGATCCATAATTTGTTCTCCTTTTCCGGGATAACAGCTTCTCATACAGTCACGCAATCTAATCGCAATACATGTTATCGGGCGTGTGGACGTCTCGATCAATAAGTTTTTCGGCTCTTTTCTGAACTTGTTTTGGGCTTTACCTTGATCTTTAAGGAAATATCATATTTTACCCTTTTCCAAAAAAAAACAAATTTTGCTTTCTTTTATGTATGGTTTTCTTTATTTGTGCTTACTAGGGTCATAGGTCGAGGATCGAACATTGTGATATTTTTCAACGGTCGACAAAACAAAACTTTCAAACCCTCCAGCAAATTCTTTCACAACGGAAGACTGATCAATTTATCTGTTGATTTCTTCGGCAAAACGTCAAGGTTTCCTGTTATTTTTTAACCATGCAGAAGCTAAGTAAGGACGAAAAAGTACCAACTTGAAGAAATACAAATTTGCCTCCCTGTTAACTAAATTTGCATCACTGTTACATGTAAATTGCGGGTGGTATTCACCAACGGCAAAACACCGAAACCTTGTCATACGGAAGAAGACTAACGATTAACCGTCGGACTATTTCGCTTTTCGCTGTGTTGATAATATTTCGTCCATTATGAAATCGCCTACAGAAATACATTCCGACTCGGCAATCGAACTCCAGGTTTATCACCTGATCAAATGTTATCATAATTTCTGTATCATGTCGCTGCTTTCCAAGCAACAAAGCTTTCCTCTTCAGGTAAAACGCATTTGTCGGGATTCTAGCTTCGTTACACTTATGTCCTTTTGTGCTAAGCTTTCCAGCCAGATTTTTCTCTCACTGTTTCGGATCCCACGGCAGAACTCTCAGGGCGCGATCCATTCAACCAAAATTTCCGGAAATTTCGGTCCAAAACTCAATGGATCGGTTCGGTCCAACCGGAAAAGTTTCGAAAAAACAGGTCCACCTTTTGAGGTGGTCCTCTTTTCCCGGTCGGACCGGTCTGAATTTTGGTTGAATGGATCGCGCCCTCAATTATTTTCGCGACCGTTTACGTACTGCGAAGCGATACGTCATGTGATTAGTGTCGAATCATGACAGGTCGAATCATGACCGTCGAATCATGTCTGAAAATCAGGGTGTATACATAGCAATGAAATCAGCTGTAAATTGGGCTAAATTGGGCTTGCCGGGTGGTGTACGGCGGGCGCACATAATTCAATGGCAAGTACGGCCAAATACTAGGCGCTTTCCATTTAGTCAAAATTTCCGGAATTTCCGGTTCGGCGGTAAATGGAACACGTTTCGTCGGTTCGTCCCACTGGAAAATTCCCAGAAAAAGTGGAAAATCTAAAAAGGTGGTCCCGTTTTCCCGGTTGGAATTTCCGAACGGAATGTGGTGTTCTATTTACGTTTCTCGTAGTTTGTACCAGTTCCAGGTCCACGGTCGGGCACCGCCGCGTACCGGGGTTTACGACCAAATGGAACAACTTGTTACCAATCGGAAATTCCACTTTTGCTACCACCGAAATTTCCGGTTTTTTTCCTAAATGGAAAGCGCCCACTGTCTCAATCCTTTTACCGTGACCTACCGAGAATGATCAATACAAGCATTTGTCAAATGTGTCAGAAATGATCGTATTGATCATTCAGATGTCAATTTTGAACGGCCATGCGCATCAATTGTACACGTAATGGCAGATGTCGTGATTCAGCATTAATACGAAGCTGTTTCGTGAATTGCAATTAATATTGCGCAAAGAGACGGTGGAAGTTCAAAGAGAGTCGGAAAAAAACAAGATCGATCAAGGGTTCCCGCTGAAGCAGCGGAGTTTCTCGCTGCTTGTGAACAAAAGCGAAAGAAGCCAAAAAATAGGACTGGCTCTGTTTTTTGGAAAAACCCGTCAACCGGTTTGAGAACTACTCACTCAAAGTATCGCCCTAGAAAAGGCCATAGAGCTTCGTCAGTTTAATATTCCTAAAGCAGGTAAATAATACTTGAAATTCTTAAACATTTTACTATTATATTAGGTGGGCTAATTTAGATGGTTTGTATCGGCTTTTTAATATAAAAACAGTGGAGCCAACATTCCAGGAGATGAAACGGATCATGCCTCTCAAGGTAGCTTATACCCCGGGGGGGCACTTGGGTATTTTTTGGGTGGTTATGTGCCGCCCGGGACTCCAAATTGGCACCCCGTTCCAAAAAAAATTTCCCCTTAAATTGATACCCCGTTCTAGAAAGGGGCCAATTTTTTATACCCCGTTCTAGAAATGGGCCAATTTTTTATACTCCGTTATAGAGTGCAACAAGAGTGCAACAATTTGCTTGTTAACGCATTGAACCGTATTTTTAAAAGCAATCTGTCCTTAAATAATTTCAAATGGCTGCTTACCAAACTGGAGCTTTCGTGCGTTCGAAAAATTATACCCCGTTCTAGAAAACGCCCCTGAAATGGATACCCCTTTCTAAATCAGGAGCTTCAAAATCACGACCCCATTGGGCGGCACATACCCGTATAGGTAATGTATGGGAGTACCCCCCCCCCCCGGGTTTATACATATTATAGTCAATCAGTTTTCTTTTTTCCGTTTCGTTCTATGGCCAAGGTGTTAAAAGATAAACGCAATATGTCCTGTTAAGTACGAAGAGTCCTTTTTTTCAGTCTGTGTTTGATGATCTTTGTGAACTAGGTTTCTTTGTTGGAAAGATGGGACTATTAATTGTTCATTAGCCCTCGAACAAATTTTAAGAGTTTTTCTATAGCATGCTTGCTGATATACATAGTAAAAGCTGGACATACTTAACCAACAGGCTGTCATTGTGCTTTGACATTGCTGAGAAAATGGATTAATTGCATTGTTGTGTTTCCGAAGTTACCCATTTACACATAATTATTAGTTTTTTTCCTAGCAATTATGCTTTGTATGTTGCTGGTTCTTTAAGGAGGCAATGTAAAGCCAATCCTAAGTGGGTAAGAGTGGCTTGATTTGCCTGCACACAATTTTTTTCCCCACAAGGAAAAAGTCCCCTTCATTCGTGTTTTCTGTCATGGCCCCTACAGATGCCAAAAAAAATAATTTGGTTACATAACCTTCCATCTTTCCCTCCTCCTTTGTCAACAGAATGCATATATGTTTCTAAAATGGAAGTTAGGAGTAATACAGTCAACTCTCTCTTAACAGACACCTCTATAAGATGGACACCCTTTTTAGAATGGACACCTAAAGTGTGTGCCTGCCTTTCTTTACTCCCTTTATTTACTCTCCATAAGACGGACATCTCTGTAAGACAGACACTTGGTGGTCCCAAAGGTGTCGGTCATAGAGGTAGTTGTCCAGGCATATTGTTCTGCTCAGCCTTAATTTTGTACCCAAATCTCCTGTTCACCAAGCTGAAGGCAAGATCTGCTCAAATCCAATTTGTACACGTGATCGCCTGAAATCCTCAATTTTAGATGTTTTTAACAACAAATTTGATAAAGCTGTGAAGTTTTCTCTAACAAAACATGTTTATAGCCTTTTTTTATGATTCAACCAACTAATGTTATTATGTTATGTATGGAAAACTGTTGGTCCATTTCATTAGGTTATTCTTTTTAAAAAAAGAAATGTTTATTTAATTTAATTCATGTTTTGTTGCTTTTTCTAGACGTAAGTCAAATTTTGAGTGAATGCACTGCCTTATTCACTCAATCTCTTCCATCAACACAGTGGAATGAGAGGATATCAAATGTAGGTCAATCTTGGGTAAGAGTGCCCCCCAAAACATGAGGGCAGTTCTGGAGAAGCCGTGTGTGTATGGTGTGTATGGATGAGGCCCAAGGCCTTGTTAAGAGTATTCATTGTGGAATGAAGATCCTGTGCACACAATGTGATGATGAGGAGCATAGGAAAAATCTTCTTCATGATAGAGAAATATTCCATGATGGCTTTTTTAAACCGGTGTCACCCAATGTTTTACTGGGCAGCAATGGTGACTTAATTACAGTGGGTACGTGTTGTTTTCTCATTTTTTTAACAACAGTTGAACCTGCTGAGTCATAAGTGATCACCCAAAATGTGAAGAGTTAGTGACTGCTTGCAGATGCCACATGGAATCGCTTACTGGGTCAAACACACAGAATTATTTTGTCAAGGGCCAATATCATAAGTTATTTCTGAGTTCTTGATTTTTATGGCTCATGGATGTGATTGGTTCTTTTTGGTGTCCTTTTACGTACTCTTTTGTTTATTTGCAGCAAGGCATTTTACAAGCAATATGCTATTTTTTTGCCCCAGCTGTACATGTACAGGTGAACCCATGTTAACGTGTGAAAATTGCATAGTGGTGACTTCCGTGGGTTAGTTTATTAAATTTGTTATGTTTTGTTGTAAGTTGTTTAGGTTTTAGCCACAAGGGTGTCCTGCCATCCTGACCCATGCATGGGTGCCCATTTTTGGAAGAAATACAAGAAAAATGTACTTAATCTCAGAAAATTTTATAGGAAAACATGCCCTCTGGATGGCCAGTATTCAATGTCGGGCTAAAAATCTGGTTTTTGTTGCTGTGATTCCAAAAAGTACAAGTAAAAACCATTTTCCCCAGCTTATCATCTTTTTTAAAATTTCTTTTATATGATAAATGAAGACTTTTTTCCTTTTGGTATTTTTTATCTACAGGGAGATATGATGTAAATTTCTGCATCTTTCACTGTAATTAGGATTGCAAAAATGTCTTCTCACCTCTGGATTCCTCCAATCTAATTCAGGCAGGCTATTGGCCAGGCTCAATTTCCAATACTAAATATGTTTTTCTCAAGACCTGTTTTTTTAGTGGAATCTATTACAGAAAAGACTTCCAGGATCATCTGAAAGTGGTTTTTTAAGATCTCTGGAGTATTTCTCTGTTATTAGAGGAAGGGTAAGCTCATTTTACAATGCTTACTGAATAAGCAATGGATAAATTTACAACCTTGAACTTTCTCTGCCTTAAGTTTCTGTTCTTTTGTTTAATGGCCTCTACAGCAGAAGTGATTCCCGTTCAAAACAGTTTCGAAGTAACTTACAACTCCGCACATAATATTACTTCCTTTGTATTACCTTTGGCAGTAGCTAATTACCCTTGATAAAGATGTACCAATGGTTCATTCATATATTTTTGGTTAATATGTATTCAGCCTCCATGTGTATGTATGTACATGTTCATGTAGATGTTTTATTCATAATTTCAGGTTGGTGTGATAAATGACACTGCATTTAGCGTTGCCTTCAAAGAGTGGAAGTTCTGTCGCCATGAGTTAGACGTCCTGCAATCCAAGGATTTCATGGAGTGCCCAACTTGTGCCGTCTTCCAGCATTCAGCTCATGTTGATGGGAATGCTAAGCTTTATCGATACAAATCAGCTGCGAGGTAACTGTTATTGAAGAGGAGTGGCCATCTGTTAATAATATTTTTATTGCTGCTGATTTCAGACACATAGTATTCGTAGGTTGCAAAAAATTATTGTGGGACGAACTTCAGATGGTGGGTGCTCTTTGGAGCCATTTCCAAGAAATTCAAAAGCTTTCCCCGGTGTGGCATAAGGGAAAATTGAATTTCCCTTGGCATGTTTGCAGTGGTATAAAACCACTACATCATAATCGCAGCCCTCATGCAAACAATCAGCCTATAATGCAAAGTTTATATTAATAATAAAGTTTTTTAAAACTTTATTATTAAAATATCAAATAATTCCAATAAAAAACAAAAAATAGAAACCTAAGTGATAGCCGAAAATACCAATGATTGATAAAAGCAAACATACATACATACAAACATACTTGTATTCTGGGTAGACTGTATTTCGTAAAGCGCTCAATTCATTTAATTGAAGAGCACACATGCATACATACATGGCCTTTATTAAAGTGCCTAATTGTTCTAGTGCCTCTTGGCACTAACTGGGGACACAACAATAATTTTATTTTGTTCTTGCCACAAGTATATTTTGGCTTACTTCGCAGAGAGTTTTTGTTTAGAAAACAACACCTATGTACATAGTATGGGTGCTTCTCGTGTGTCACAGACGTTTCTCCTAGGGAAACATCCCCGGTGACAATTCGAGCTAGGAGAAATGGCTGTGTTCGCAGGCCTCTTATTTTCTAAAATCTAAAAAACATTTTGTAACCTTGGCTAAAGAAGATAACTAAGCATTTAGGATCCTCTTTGAAAAAATAGGTGTCTTATAACTGAAATATTATTGCAATGTAAGGGTACATAGATTTTGTATAAGGAATAAGTTTAAATACCACCACATACTCTCAGCTAAAATGTATTTTCTTTCCCTTCAGAAAATGAGAACCTCTTTAACAACCTACAATGTAAGTGCTGATTACCGTTTATGTAAGGACCTTTTTTGGCTAACTTAATTGGGAAAATACAGGTTATTACTTGCTGGTTTTTAGTGTATCTGTACAATGTAAATACCTACTCTGTATTCAAGTTTCTCCCTCTCGTGTGTGGGGGAAATCACTCCTCGCTTCTTCACCCTCTCCCAGTCCTTCTTTTTCTTTTCAAACGTATAATCACATTCCCTGTTCCTGCACTTCTTCACAGCTACAGGGCAATCTTCATTACAAGCTGGGCAGCGCTTTTCCCAAAAAAATATTGGAATATGATGAAATGAAAAAGAAGAAAAATAGCAAGTGCAATAACAACAAAAAGAATTACAGAAATTACACATATTACTTGCAAACCTCGTTCAATTGATTTATTGATATTTAATGCCTTTTTACACATAAACGAAAGGAAAAAACATTACATTACATGAAAAATACACGAAACTAAAAATAATCTCAAGAAGCCATGAACACTTATAGGTGAGACTTCCTCTTTACATTAGTTTTTATTAATGACTTATATACTTTTATAAATAAAGAACAGCATATAATATTAAAGTAGTTTACAAGTGTATAGAAAATATAAAGAAAAAGTTAATCGTCAGTCTGATAACTAGTAATAAATTACAGACCATATATTGAGTATTCTATAAACTTATTAAATTTGATTAAGTAAACGTTTACAGTGATTTTACTTGACCTGTGAAAGAGATAGTAACCAAACTAGTAAACAATAGCAACAGAAAAACAAAAGAAGACAACGGAATTAGTGCATACGAGTGCTCAGTATTGTACTACCTATTTCAGGAGTCAAGTAAAATAACTCTAAAGGTTCTTATGTTGTTTGATCTAATTATTGAGTGAGGCAAAGAGTTCTAAAATTTCGGTCCCTGGTATAAGATTGTAAATTTTTTTATGTTTGTTCTGCAGGTATGAGGACGATATGACTTGGCATATCCAGTAGAATAATCCTTGACTTTCAGTTTGAAATAAAATTTGAAAAGAGTGAGGTACCCAAGTTTTTGAAAAATGTTTTTTTTGTTTTTTGTTTGTTTGTTTATTTATCTATTTATTTATTTATTTGGGTTTACTGGGAGCCCTGTAATCTGCAGCACAGATTGTTTGAACAATTCTTTTCTGTAACAAGTAGATTCTAGTGATAATGTTTGTAGGATATGTAGAACTCTATACTATGTTGCAATATGTGAGATATGGATACACTAAAAAAAAAAAAACCAAAAAACAAAAAAAGAAGCGATTTTTTAGTTACATAGGACCTTGCGACAACATTCTTCTGTTTTTTGAAATTTTTGTACCGACAAATCTCGCTATTGACAAAAGAGTTAACAACATGCACTAAAAAAAAAATAAACAAAAAAAGACCAAAAAGAGAGGTCAAGAATAGAGGATGGCCACCACTTTCAATAAGGCCATCCCCCTTTTTTTTTTCATTTAGCGTCGAATGCGTTTTCTGATATTGGGTTCGTCGGTCGGATTAAAAAAAAAAAAAAATTTCACAAGAAGTCTTGGAGGCCCTGGTACCCCAGGGTAATGTTAAAGGTTAACATTCACATATTTGGATTGACAAAATGCACAATATACTGTAAAAAATGCCCGTTTTTGTTCCTGTTTTTCTCTGTGCTGTTACTATGCTCATTTTTCAGACCAAAAGAATTATTTGAAATGAAAAATGGTGTAACTACGTCGAATCGTTACTTTTTTTTTTTTGGAAAATGCCAAAAATTTGGGTCGGTCGGACGATGCTAAACGGAGAAAAAAAGGGTGGCCTAAGCGTAATGATAAAAAACATTAATGAATAACAAATAATATCAATACAGTTTGAATATCTGAGGTAAATGACTGACTCCTATATATTGTGACTACCATATTTTGCTATTGTTGTGGCAGGCTAACCCAATAGGTAGAGCACCTGACTACAAAGAAGGTTGCAGACCAGATTGCCATGGCTGGAAAAGTATTTGGGGTCTCACAATAACTGAGAAATGAAGGTACTGCCTTTGCCCTGCAAGTGGCTAGACCTTCATGTGGTTTGTATGACCACTACAAGAAAAAATGGTGGTCCTGTCTCTAGTAGAAACAAAAATGCTGTCCTTAATAAACACTTTCCTGTTTAATACATTGACAAGCAAATAAAGTGCCTTTATCGTGCCACCATAGTGGTTAGTAAAATGGCAATCCACTGTAAAACCTTTGGTGACCTGTATGTGGCCAACTCTGGAAAAGCTACCTACATGATGAAAGCTCAGTATGACAGCAAGTTAGTAGCTGTTATCTTGAATAAGTAAAATCCTGAAGTGGCGTCTTGAAAAGGTTACATTGCTCCAAGGACAGCTGCAGCAGATCAACAAAAATGCAAGGTAATTTAGAGTAACGTGATAAAAGAAGTATTTAAAAAGCATTAAAGCCACAGCACTACGAATATCCGTAGACGTAATTTGAATTTTTGTACATATACTAGAAAAAAAGACTACTTTATTTATTGATAAGGCGAACTATGCATCAACATCAGTGTCGAATAAAAATTAGTAATCAAACAGATAGAAAAGAATTGCAATAATCACTATCATTGCTTAAATGCCGAGGTAAAAAAACTATGCTAATAGTATGCTGATTGAAATTTGAATGCGGCCTCTTTTGGAGTTGTCAGCCTTTGAGTTACGGATAATTGATTATCTTTTGTCTCTCTCCATGTCCACATTCTAATGATCATAAACAACCTTTAAACCGAGAAACAGTTAAAGCAAATGTCAATGGATGGCCACCCCAACTTAGTATGTAGCGTACATTAGTTACTACCCCTGGATCTCCAAAAGTGAGTCTAGCTGCAGTGCACGGTGTGTCAGAGGTGTGGCCATGCAATGCTTTAATTATGAGATAAGGATACGAGCGAAGCAAGGGTTTGCTTCCAGTATTATCGAACGATTATTAATCTTACCTTGCGAGTTTTGGATGAAGAAACAGATTTCTCTGGAAAGCAACCAGATAGAAAGTTACTTCTGAGTGACTTGTTAATTTTGACCGGTAACGGCTCGATTGCAGTGTCGCAAGGGCTGGTGGAGTTTTCCCCTCGGCTACCAAAACGACCTACTTTAAGCATCGTTTGCGTTTTCAGCTATAAACCATGACCCACTGTACAATATTTTGATATAATTGAACAATTTTGAAAAACCTTTTGGAGCAGAATCAGCTTGTGTAACTGTTACAGGGGTTTCTGAGGGATCCGCCATTTTGAATGAACCATCAATAGAAAATTATAATACTACTAGTAATGGTTGACACTACAGCTGCCCCCGCCCTGTATATAGTATTCTTGCACCTTGTGTAGCTCTTTGAAATATACCGATTCATAATGAAGATGTTCACACATATTCCATACAATAGGTGAGATAAATACAGGAAATAAACGCAAGGTTCCATGCACAGTTTCGGTCCGATTTACACAGCTTTGATCAAAACATTCTCAGTTTCGAAAATAGTTTATTCTAAACCATAAGATAAGATTTAATTAGAAGTTTAATTTTTCGCTATTTCTATTTCACTTTTTACGTTTAGTTCATTTCATTTGCCGGAAAGTAAGCCTCTTCCGATTACAACAAAAATTTTGCGGCTCTTGCACTCCCAACTGGACCACTCTGTAAGCCTCGATTCTTCGTTTTGGGCCATTTGTCTAGTCGCTTTTTACGGGATGTTACTAAAACGGGGAACGGGGAGCGGGGAGCGGGGAACGGGGAACGGAAGTCTGGGAACGAGTTGTCAGCGGAAACCTCCATAAAAATCCAAAATGGCCGGTAAGGATCAAGAACCCGGTAAGATCGATGATAGAGAAGCGTCGAAACAACACTTAAGGTCGCTATTTTACTAATGAACTATATGCTCATGAGGTGCTTGAAATAATACGGAGGTAATAATGTCATGACATTTTTCACCTTTTTGCGTTTTACTAAACAACAAAATATGCTCCAACAGCAGTTGAAAGAAGCTATAGTCGGGACAAAAACTCTCAAAGCACAGCCATATTTGGAACTCAAGCGAATCTATACTGGGTCTAACTCACAAAGCAATGAACTACTTTTGCTTGACGCTTTTCGTAGATAACGTAGATCGAAGCAGCCAGGTGTATTTCCTCGACAGTAATAGTGTAGCAGTGGAGCTCCTTCTTAGCTGTAGCGTTTTTTCAAGCCCAAATTAAAACATGTTGGCGATGAGATAAAACTGTAAGTCTAATAATATTATATTTACAAACCTATGATGAGAAGTAAGTGCAATTGTATTATTTGAAAAGATAAGATGGATCAGGTTATTTAATACATCAATAAAAGGCAACTTTAAACATATTAACGGGGAATGTGCCAGGAACATCAATCATACCTTGGTCTTAAAGATATCAGTTGTTTCAAAGCAAATGGCTATGCTGTGGTTTTATTTAATTATAACCTAGGTTTAAATTTTGCTTCCCTTTGTTTGGGGGTACGGTAATATGAATTTTATGATTATGAGTTCAAAACAAAGAGAATAAAATTCAAACTTAGGATAAAAGTGAACCACAACTGAGCTGCAATATTAAGTGTTGCAAGTATACGTGGGGGAAGTACTTTGAAGTCTTTGGTTGGAAGGTACTTTCTAAAGGCTAGCTGTTAAAATATGCATGGTAATTATACTTCCTCTGTTTAGCCCTCTGGATGCTTATTTTTTTTCTAGGGGCACTCCTTTAATGTTTTTGCAGAGGGGAGCTCTGCTTCTCTTTAATGAACATTATTTTTACTGTGGAGAAAAATATTTCAAGCTCAGTGTAAAACTGAATGTGTCAGTGACTTAAACCAGTTAATATTGTCAAGCTGCTTTATTAGCTTGATTCAGTAATATTGCAGTGCGCCTACCATCAAGCATCACATCATCAATGTTGCAGAGGCTGGCAGCTTATTAGAAGGTGGTTGATAAGCCTTCAAGCAAGCTGTCTGTAGTTTTGGAAATAAAGAGTCTAAGGTCTCACACAAGTGATGGGAGGCAAAAGATTGGAGTGCCGATGTGTTCTTCAGTAAACACGCGCAACTGTATGTGTATAGTTTCCACATTACGCTTACTCAATGCATGTAAAATAACACAATAGATCTTGCTACCCATTTTCCCTGATTTTATTTCCCCTCCAGGGGACATAATTTCTTTTAACATATCGGGGTTTTCAAAAAAGGGGCAAGAAGCTTTTAATGAAGCACAGTATCAAAGAAATTAGAGAGAAGAATCAGACTAGAGTAACAGTAACCCAGAGGGAAGGGGGGAGTACTCACCAAAGAGGCTCTGCCCCAGGGACCAACCCTTTCACATACCTAATTTTGAACGCTGCATCCCTTTTTAACTGCTGTAAATACACCATCTTTACAAAAACAGGTTTTCTTGTCTCTCACATCCATAAAATGCATCTGTGACTGATCTCATTTTGGTCCCTTTCCTATACTTCAACTATAAAAACCCCTTCCCTTTCATGTACCTGAAGCCTGAAAAAGGCTTCAGGCTCTGTTTAGGTCATTATAGTACCCCCTCCTCCTGCACCGAGAACAGTACTTGATACAGCGATATTGTATGGTATGAATTGCACCAAACGTTTCGTGCCCATGAAGAGGTACTTTGATTATTTTACGACAATTTTCTTCAAAAGGGAGGGGTTTGGGATCTCATTCTTAGGGGGGCGGGGGGTTAATTGAGGATCTGCAGTGAGTGAGAATGTTGCATTCAATGCCATCCAATGGTTTTGATTCAGGAAAGGGTCGTCAGGGGTATTTCGCAGAAAGACAAATGGCCACTGTACGACTTTGAAGCAGTTACTGATTAGGGTGAGGAAAATGAGTGAATTAGGTTCCATTAGGGTCATTATACTGGTCTATACTGGGCAACCTGACCTGAAACAAATTGTTTCACAAAATAATAAAATGATATTATTTTATTTTCATGGATCAGTGAAACACTTCAATATCATGAATGCTTGCAGTGTAGTAGATCTAATAATATTAAAAGCAGAACCAGATTGTTAAAGTAGTCTTACTAATTATGTGATGACGTGGTCAATAACGTTTTTCAAAGCAGTCATCTCTATCAAAGGAAATAGAAGAAGTTTGCACACAAGCTACTTGACTACTTCGATGTATGTTATCTATCATGGAAAAGTAGTTAATTGCTTTGTGGGCTAGACTCAGTATAGATTCGCTTGAGTTCCAAATATGGCTGTACATGTGCTTTGAGAGTTTTTGTCCCGATTGGCTTCTTTCAACTGCTGTTGGAGCACATTTTGTTTCCTACGGATAATTGTTTAGTAAAACGCAAAAAGGTGAAAAACGTCATGAAGTTATTACCTCCGTATTATTTCAAGCACCTCACGAGCATATAGTTCAAGTAAAGTAACGCCGTTATCGGTTAAGTTTGTTTCGACGGTTCTCTATCATCGATCATCGGCCATATTGGATTTTTATGGAGGTTTCCGCTGACAACTCGTTCCCAGACTTCCGTTCCCCGTTCCCCGCTCCCCGCTCCCCGTTCCCCGTTTTAGTAACATCCCTTTTTACGGCATGTTTCGAAAATCGCACCTTTTGCCTACCATCTCATCTTCGTTTAACCCAAAGAAGCAACTCACCAAAAGCGATTTCAAGATATACTTGGGGTGCTCTTGTTACCATATAAGGTGGAGCAAGACCATCCAGTTCCGGGAACGAGTCGTTGACATACCCCTCCCTCGAATCCCTGGCTCCCGACTTTGCCCTACTTCGGCTCTTTACCGAGCTTTCAGTTTCACTGCCCCTGTTTCGTCGGGGGACTAGCAGGCTTTCAATTGGGTAGATCAATCGTTTTACGCCCATACGTTTACCTATAATAGCTTTGTCGAAAAATTGCGCCACCACCTATCTACATTGGGCCTTGACCCCAAAAACTACGCGGGCCACTCCTTCCGCAGTGGGGGTGCATCTTTTGCCTATTTATCGGGGGTTCTCATTGAAATG